ACCCATCCACCCATCCACCCATCCATCCATCCATCCATCCATCCATCCATCCATCCATCCATCCATCCACCCATCCATCCACCCAACCTTCCATCCACCCAACCACCCACACAACCATCCATCCACTCAATCATCCACCCAAACACTCAACTACCCAACCACCCACCCAACCACCCACTCACCCACCCAACCACCCACCCAACCACCCACCCAACCACCCACCCACCCACCCATCGACCCAACCACCCAACCATTCACCCAGCCCACTCAACAACAACTCAACCATCCGCTCAACCACCCAAACAACTACCCAACCATCCACCCAATCACTCGACAACCCAACCGACCACCCAACCATCCACCCCACAACTCAACCACCCAGTCATCCACTCAACCACCCAACCACCCACCCAACCATCCATCCTTTCACCCACCCACCCATGCTTTCTGCCCTCAAACCCGCCCGCTCGCCAGCCCACCTCCCGGCCCATTTCTGCGTGTCTGTACCTAAAGTTTTTTGTTTTTTTTTTTTTTGGTCTGTGTATGAAAAAGAATTTGAGATGTCTTTTTTTTTTTTTTTTTTTTTCCATAAATTCTGTCGACTGCTGAAATAAAGCATGTGAAATGATCCGACCCACCTGCTGCCCACTGTGCCCTTGTTCTCTTCCCGCGTCTCCAGGGAAATGGGGGGGTCAGGAATTGGGGATTTGGGGACCGCAGCCCCTGTGCTGTCCTCCCTGCTCTCCTCCTGCCACGCTACTGCGCTCTGTGCTGCCCACCTCCCCTCCTCCCCCCCCACCCTTCCTCCTCCTCCTCGATCAGCCCATAGGCTGAGAGAGGGACTGGGAGCCACCCCCAAAGAGTGGGGGGAATGGGATGGGGCTGGGAGGCCAATGAGGGGTGGGGGGAAGGATGGGGAGGGGGCAACGTGAGGGGGAATAGGGGGCCGTTGGCACAAGGTGGGGGGCACACAGCTGAGGGAACCCCCCCGTACACACACACACACACACACACACACACACACACACACACACACACGGGGTGTTCGGTGAGCTGGGGGGGGGCACAGAGGTTGGGTGAGGAGGTGCACGAAAAGGGATGGAAATGGGGCGTGGGAGCTTTGCACTCGCTTGTGCACAAGCGTGCCACGGTGCGCAAATGTGCCATGGTGTGTAAGTGTGCCACGGGGCATGAGTGTGCCACGGTGTGTAAGTGTGCCACGGGGCGCGAGTGTGCCACGGCGTGCAAACGCACCACGGCGCTCTGATTTGCCACACCGTGACACAGTGCAAATATTTGCACGCACGGAGTGAGGGGCAGCAAGGGGTGCCCCCCCTCTTCAAGCAACCGCTGGGTGTACACTCAGGTGTGCAACGGGAGAAGCAGCACACGCGTGTGCCCGCGGTGCCACGCGCCTCAGCACGGACACCTTCACGCTGCGCGGGGCTGAAAGGGCCCTTTCTCTTCTCCATCCCATCCTATCAATGCCTCCCCTTGTTCCCCCAAAACACGCCCCTGTGTTTTCCTAACCCCCCCCCCCCCCGGGCGTCTGCCCCGCTGCACTGAAAGAGGCCCATTCTTCGGCTGGGGTTGGGGGCTGTGGTGTCCCTGGGGGGGGGGCTGAGAGGGATGCCTGGGAGAAAGCGGAGCAGCAGAGAGCAGAAGGAGCTCCGGGATGGTGCCCGCACCCAGCAGGACTGCAGGTGAGAGCTGGGGGTGTCGGGGTGCACCCAGACATGGGGACACCCCCCCACCTCCAAATCTGCCTTCTGGGAGCCCCCGTCCCACTTCAGATCCCCCTCACCGCAAAAGGGGGAGCGGATGGGGGTGGGGGTAAAGGAATGGGGAGGGGGTTATGGGGTGCAGGTCACTGTGATGTATAGGGCTGTACCCCCAACCCCCTTCTAACACCCCCCTGCCCCCCCCAGAGCATCCAGGCTTGGCTGCCAGCGTCAGGAAATAAAGATGAGGAATCGCATCTCATTGCAAACAGCCACATTTTACCAGCAAAATTCCCCCCCCCCTCCCATCCCAACAGCTTGCAGAAAGGAATCGCAGCAAGCTTATCCTTAAGGGGGGGGGATATGGGGCGGGGGTGCACAGCCACGCTGCCTGTTACCTGGAAATGGGGAGAAAATGGTCATTCCCCTTAAAAAAAAAACAAACAAAAAAACAATAAAAAGAGAGGGGCTTCCCCCACGCCCCTCCCTCCCCCCGCCGGCTCACCGCTGCTGTGGGATCAGGGGGTCCCGAGCCCCATCGGGGGGTCCCGCCATGGGGTTGGTGTGCTGCCCCGTGCGCACGTTGAACATGGGGAGGGTGGAGAGCGGCCGGGGGACGTCGCGACTGCGGGCCATGCTCCTCAGCTCCTCCGTGTCGCCGTGGATGGTGGTGTGATGTACGAGTTGGATGCTGCCCGAGGGGGGGGGAAGGG